TGTTTTCTCCAAAGTTATTTATTTTTTTAATGTTTTATTGACATCTTATTCATATAAAATCTAGATTACTCTCCTTCTCTCTCCCTTTCCCCTCCCAGAATACCATCTCTTAAGGTAAGTATTTCTAAACATAAAAACGAAAACGAGGAAGAGAAAACAAATTTAGCAATACCAGTCAATACATTGTGTGTGTGTGTGTGTGTGTGTGTATTCTATTCTCTCCAACGTTCCACACTGATGTTCCACTTCCACAAAGGAATGAAGATGGGGGCTGGGGGGGAGGTATCTTTTCATGTCTCTTCTTCGGAGACCAAGCTTATTCTTTGTAATTTTGTAACATTCACTTTGCTGTTGTTGTTTTGTGGTGATTGTTCTTTCCATTTACATCACTGTAGATAGACTGTTTACTTGGCTTTACTGACTTCACTCAGCATCAGTTCAGGTAAGTCTTTCCACACTTCTCTGCATTCACCATAGTCATCACTTCTTACAGAAGTCATATTCCATTTACATTCATGGATGACAGTGTGTTTAGCTGTTCCTCAACTGCTTGGAATCTAGAGTTCTAATTCTTTGCTTTCCTAAAAAAAGTGGGTTTATTAAAGAGCAGCAGAATCTCTGGGTCAGAGGGTATAGCTATTTTAGGCATTTGCATAATTCCAAATGGTTTTCCAGAATGATTATGATAATCCACAGCTCCACAGACAACGAGTTAGTGAGCTTATCTTCCCATAACCCCCCCAAGACTGACTAGTTCCATCTTTGATCATTTCAGTGTGACATGAAACCTCAGGGTTGTTTGACTTCCCTTTCTCTCATTATTGGTGATTTTAGAGCCTTCTTTCATAATGTTTCTGGTAGCTCGCAGTTCTATTGAGAATTATTTGTGCTTATCCTTTGACCACCTATGTCTCCAGTGATCTCCTTGTTGCCAAATCTAGCAGGCCTTCCTCACTTCTCATCAGACTTCAAAAACCTCAGGGAAAATCAACCCAAGGAGCTGGCACACTCGAGGATACAAAGAAGGGTCAGAAACCAAAGGATTCTGGTCAAACATTTCCAAGGGATCATGACAAAAATACTAATGTTATGGTATGAAAAAAACCCATCCCTTAATTTTCATCTTAATTTAAGGCAATAAGGATGCAAAGTCCAGCATTAGCCCCACATTTAGTTTTGACAAAAAATAGCATGGGGCTTTTTAATTACTTTGAAGTCCAAAGGGAAGAGGAATGGAGAACATATCTATGAATCCCCCATCCCCTAGATCTGGGGACTTGCTTGAGCTCAGATGACAGCAGGAAAGTGAAAGGAAAGGAGAGTGAATCCCGGACAGGAGTTATAAGGGAAATGGCTTTTATCAGCCAAACATGGATGAAGACAATAGCAACTAATGTTAGCAAATACTTTATATGCCTAACATTTTACAGGCTCTAATGATCTAAATTATTAGTAACATATTGGAAGGTAGACTTCTGTAACCAATCACTTAACAAATGAAATTCAGAAACAATAAACACAATAATTTCCTAGTCTCTCAGCATCAATTGACCTCAAAGTTGGTGGACTTTGGGGTCATAGTAACTCATGAAGATCATCCACTAACTTCAAGTGAGCAAGCATTTATTAAGCACCTACTGTGCCCTAGACACTTTGTGCTATCTGCCAAGGATACCTAGAAATGCAAAAAGCTTGCTCTCAAGGGGCTTACAATCTAACGGGGGGGAAGAGAACACACAAATATGTACATATGAGATATATACACAACAAACAGACAGAGTCTTGAAGCAAAAGCACTAATACTAAGGTGGACTGGGAAAGGCTTCTTGTAGGACATGAGGTTTTAGCACAGACTTTGGCAGAGAAGGAGGCCAGGGAAGGCAGGACATAGAGATGAAGAGGGAGAGAGTTCTGAGTAGGGGACAACCAGTGAAAAGGCGCACAGAAGGGAGATGTTGTGTGGAGGAGGCTAGCATTACTGGATTTCGGAGTATGAAAAAGAGAATATGACAGAAGGCTACAAAGGTAGAAGGGGGCCAGGTTACAAAGTATTAATCCTGGGGGTGCTAGGGAGCCAATGGAGTTTGTTGAAGAAGGAGGTGACATGATTAGGAAGATTAATTTGACAGCTGAGAGAGGGATGGGTTGGACTGGGGAGAGAGCCAAAGCAAAGAGATCAAGGAGCAGGCTCTTGCAGTAGTCCAGGAAGGAGGTGATGAGGGGCTGGACCAGGGTGGTGGCAGTGTTAGAGGATAGGAAGGGACGTATATGAGAGATGTGAGGAATGGAAAATCAATAGAACTTGGCAAACGATGGAATATGGGAGAATAAGAAAGTGAGGAATTAAGGATGACCCCTCAGTTGTCAGGCTGAATGACAGAAAGGGTGGTGGGACCCTGAACAGTAATAGGGAAGTCAGGAAGATTGGAGGGTTTGGGGGGTGGGGGAGATAATTCTGTTTTGGACATGTTGAGTTTAAGCTAATCCAGTCTGACGTGGCCAATATGGCAGACGGAGATGTAAGACTGGAGGTCAGGAGAGAGATTAAAATTGCATAAATGGATCTGGAATCATTTGCACAGAGGTGATACTTAAATTCATAGAAATTGATGGTCTCCAAAAATAAAAGTATAGAGGAGGAAAGACCAAGACACAGCCTTTGAGGAGAGCCACAGTTTGGGGGCTCAATCAGGAAGAAGATTCAGCAAAAGAGCCTGAGAAAGAGCAGACAAGTAGGAGGAGAAGCAGGAGTGTCTTGAAAGCCTAGAGAAGAGGATACTAAGAGGTGGGTGATCACCAGTGTCGAAGGCGGCAGTGAAGTCAGAAAGGGTGAGGATCAAGGAAAGTCATTAGATTAGTCCACTAAGAGATCTCTGGAAACTAAGGAGAGAGGTTTTCCTTGAATGATGGAGTCAGAAAGGAAACTGCAGGGTTAGGAGAGAGGGACTTGGTGGAAGCCCCAAGTGTAGATGGTCTTCTCAAGGAGCTTAGCCACAAAAGGGAAGAACAGTGAGATGACAGCTAGGGTTTGGTTTTTCTGTTTGTTTTGAGATGTGGAGACATGGAGGTATTTGTAAGAAGCAGGGAGGCAGCCAACAGACAAGAGTGACCAAAAATTAATGGGGGGGGGGGGCAGAAGAGTTAATGTTAAGAATTGGAAGGTTGATTCCATTAGCTCTAATTATGAACCAGCCAGCAGAGCTTTGCTAATCTCATCTTCAACACAAATTCAAAAATTGACCCAGGACCCCCACATATTTTTATGATAAAATTTATTCTTTCCAACCCAATATACTGGTGTTCTGACTGTTGGGGTAAAAGTCAAAACAGTCAAGCTAGGATTCAAATCCTAGCTGCTAAACACCTGTGTGCTCTGGGCTACCCCAATAATCTGCTCGCCATTCAGTGCCTTTTTAGACCCAAACAGCCTTCTCCTAGGTGTGTGGTTGGTTCCTTTCACCTTTGCACTTATAGGACTCCTTAGCTCAAGGCCAGGGACATGGTGAGTCCTCAGTAAATGTGTGTTCATTAATTCAGCTGTGCCTTCATTTTTTCCTTCATTCCATTCCTGATCTATAAAGGGAATAGCCAGGGGTGGGGTACCTGAGGCCCCTGAGGCCACATGTGGCCTTCTAGGGCCTTGGGTGCAGCCTTTTGATTAAGTCCAAGTTTTATAGAACAAATTCTTTTATTAAGGCGGTTTGTTCTGTGAAGTTTGGATTCAAAGGGTTGCACTGGAGGACCTAGAGGGCCACAGTGGCCAGGACACTGCAGGTGCCCCACCCCTGCAATAGGGCGAGCCAGATGACCTCCAAGGCCTCTCAGCTCCTACCCCATGATCTTCTTTCCTGTCTGGGCAGCCCTTCGCTCACCAAGCATTTCCTAGGCACTGGTACCTTGCAATGCCCCAACACATAAAGACAAGAGTGGCCACAGTGAGACAGTCCTGCCCTCCAGGAGATTAAGTTCTAGGGGGTGGGAGCAGGGGAGGAGGGAGACCACAAAGGGTTGGAAAGAGAAGAAGCTCGTGGTCAGACTCTACTGGAGTAGGCACATTCAGGAAATTCCATTACTAATGCTACCTCCACCTAGGTGGCACAGTACATAAGAGTGTTGGGCCTGGAGTCGGGAAGACCCGAGTTCAAATCCAGCTTTAGACACTGTGTGACATCACTGAACCTCTGCTTGCCTCAGTTTGCTCATCTGGGAAATGGGGATAATAATAGCACTTCTTTCCCAGGGTTATTGTGAAGAACAGATGAGATCACTGTAAAATGCTTTGTAAAGCTTAAAGCTTTATGTAAAAGCTATCATCGTCACCACTGGGCTGTTGGGAGGTCTCACTGCAACATTTGTTCAACTGGCACAAGAGGCCAGTCTCTGCCTAGGACTTTACTTTTTACCCGGGTTAAACCGTGTGTAGGCATTCAAGGTCCTTGGGCCTCAGTTTCCCCAACTGTAAAAGGAAGGTGCTGGACGGGAAGCTCCCTAAGGCGATCCAGCTTGTAGAGAAGGCGAAATAGCAACTAGATACAAAGTAACTTCAGGGGAGAGAGTCCCAGCCGGGAGCTTTTACCCTTGTGGGGTGGGTGGGGGGGTGGGGGTGTGTGTGTGTGTGCGCACGCGCGCCCGCGCGCATGCACGCAGGGAGGGGTCGGGAATATGGGGGGGGTTGCCCCCTCCACGATGGTCCTGTAAGCTGCTCAAGGGGAGAAACTGAGGCTTTCGCGGAGTTCCCAGGCCCCAGTCGGCGGCCCTCAGGCATCCGCAGGCGCGGGGCGGGGGGAGGGGAGCGGCAGCCCCCGGCCCTCCCCGCCCCCGCCCCCGCCCGGCGTGATTGACAGGCCGCGGCTGCGGGCGGGCGCGGTCACGGCGGCGGGCGCGCGCTTCGGCGGAGCCTCCTCCCTCCCCCACGCGATCAGCGCGCCATGGAGCGGGGGCCCACGCGGGACGGCGGGGAGCCGGGGCCGGCCGTGGCCGTGGCGGCCGTGCTGCCCGCGGGGGGCTGCGGGGAGCGCCTGGGAGGGCCCACGCCCAAGCAGTTCTGCCCCGTGCTCGGCAGGCCGCTCATCAGCTACACGCTGCAGGCCCTCCAGAGGTAGGGACGGCGCGGCAGGCGGGGGCGGGGGCGGGGGCGGGGGCGGGAGCGTCGGCCGGCCTGCGTGCGCGCGTGCGCGCCTGCGCGCGTGCGTGGAGGGCGGGGCCCGTCCGCTCCTAGTCCCGCCCCTCCCCCCCGCCCCCGCCCGCTGCCCCCCGCGGGGGGGGGGGGGGGGGGGGGGGGGGGGGGGGGGGCCGCCGCCCGGGGGGAGCGGCAGAGACACCCTGGAGGCCATCCCCGAGCTCTGATCTCAGCCCGTCCTTCCCCCGGGACCCCGAGATAAGCGGCGGCTTGAGCTTTAGCTTCCCCGGGCTTCTGCCCGGGAGACTCTGGCTGGATGGAGCAGGAGAAAGGCCCGGGCCTTATTTGTGCCCCCCCCATCCCCCTTGATTTACATCGGGACGTCCCGCCGCAGCCGGCCAGCCCCTCCGTGGCCGCCGCGCGTGGGACGCCGCCTCCACGAGCTTCCCTTGTGGTTGGGTAGAGACTACCGCAGATGGGCCCTCCCGGCGCGCCGCTCCGCATTGGCACGATGGGCCCCTTTGCGGGAAGCTTGCTCAGGACAGTTTTCAGATGATTCTCTGGTTTGAGAATAAGCTGAAGCGAGACTTGTCAGATTGTCCTGACGGTGTGGTGGCCCACGATGCCGCTATCGGGACTTGGGGACCCTAGACTTGCTCATCTGTGAAATGGGTAGAGTAACACCACCTGCCTCCCAGGGTGGTTGTGACGCTCAAGATATTTGTAAAGCACTTAGCCCCGTGGCCAACGTGGAGTAGGCACCCTATAAATGCTAGCTATTGCCATGATTATCGTAAATTTAAAACAGTTCTGAATCTAGGGAGGGTGGTATTGTAAATGATGACCGTCATAATTAAAAGCTCGGTGGTGAGTTAAGGTTTACGAAGGCCATTGCATCTGTCATTTCATTCTCACAACAGTCCTGAGGAGGAAGTGCCTTTATTATCCCCATGAGAAAACTGGAGGTGAGAGATGTGAAATGATTTGCTCGAGTTGTCTCATTAGTAAGGGTCTGGGGCAGGATTTGAACTCGTGTCCTCCTGACTCCGGGTCCATCACGACCCACTGTGCCACCTGGCTGCCCCAGAATGAGCCTTTGGAAGAACGGAGGAGCAGCGTGGACTTGGATGTGACTGCCCAGCCCTATTTACACTGGCAGCCCGGGTCCTAAGAGGTGGGCCAGCGACTTCTGTGTCCAGGGTTCTAGAGTAATCCAGAGGGGCTTCGAATATTTCCAGTGCTGTTGCTCACTCGCTGTTGCTGGTGTGACCCCTTCCCCTTGGACTATCGGTGGCTATCAATTAGTCAGCCACGCTTAATTAGCTTTTAGAAACAGGTATTTCCTAAGGGGGTACAGCGAGGATAGTTTTTACCATACATTCTCCAAACTGCGGTTCCCGGCACCTACAAGCACATGCAGAGGCCAGAGCAAAGTGGGTTCAAGCTTAGAGAGCCTGGGCCGAAGGGGTCGCTCAGAGCTCCTGGATGTTCCTCTTTCTTCTTCGTTGGGCAATTCCTGGTTTTCCCATTAGGCCTGACGTGCCTCTGTGGGGCCTCAGGGTCATCCCTGACACAGCCCTGCTGTTGGCTTTCTTTGTGACTCAGGAAGACAGGGCTGCTGCTGAAATGTGGCTGGAGAGTCCAAATCTTCTGACCTGATCCGGAAGGGGGGTGGGGCAGAAGATCTTCTCCCCGCCTGCCCCCTCCCCCAATCCATCCATCCATCCCCTGTCAGGGTTTAGCTGGAATTGCTCCACCTTTGGGCGTGCTGTGGGAACCTCCAGGTTCTGACCTGGCTTATTCACAGGGTGTGACTGATTCTTTAACCAGTTCGAATATACTTTCTGTGCGAAAACAATTTTACCCAATGGCCTTCACCCCTTCCAAACTGCTGAGTGACTTTTCCCAAACATATTTTAGTGTCTCTGATTTAGTGATTCACTGGAGATATACTCACCTGATAAAGGGAGAGCATCTGGTTAATTACTTTGAGTGGATTTCGGGGGTGGAGGGGGGAATGACTGGTTCAATTAACATCTTCCCCTCCCCTTATATAGGTAATGAGGTGACAAGAGAGCAAACATCCGCCACCAAAGAATGTATATCCTAATCTCCTGGAAGAATTTAAAGATCCGAGCACAGGCGCACGACCCTTAATCCTTGAAGGGTCACGCAGTTTGTAAATGACTGAGGCCAGATTTGAACTCAGGAAGATGAGTCTTCCTGACTCCAGGTCTGGTGCTCTTCCCACTGCTGCCCCGTCCCCAGTATTGAAATCCAAGTCTGGAGTTTGGGGGGTTAAGGTGGTCATTTCCCTGGAGAGGTTTTAGTTTCAAAAATGACTTTTGGAAAGAGGGAAAGAGGGCTTTTGGAAAAAAAACCTGGAAAACCCGCATAAATTTTATGGAATATGTTGGCTGTAAATGGGTTTTTGGATTTCATTGGAATAGCAGATTCTTGGTGAAGGAGCTCCCTAAAACAGAGGTGGGGAATCTGCAGTCTCAAGGCCACATGTGGCCTTCTAGGTCTTTGGTGCAGCCTTTTGACTGAGTCCAAAGTTTTACAGAACAAATCCTTTTATTAAGGTGATTTATTCTGTGAAGTTTGGATTCAGTCAGAGGGCCGAACTTGAGGACCTAGAAAGTGATATGTAGCCTCGAGGCTGCAGGTTCCCTACCCCTGCCTTATAACAATGCCAATTAGAGTTTGAGAGAGTTGGCTGGGCGATTAGGTCAGGGTCCAGGGTCCAGGGTCCTACAGCCATTATAGTTTGACAAAGGGCTTGAACTCAGGGCTTCCTGGTTCAGAGGCCAGCTTCCTACCCACCATGACGTGCTACCTCTGCTGCAAGTGGTTTATAAAAATGGGAGGGATTCTGGAGGTGAGCACCTCCTGGGAGGACTCCTGGGGAACAGTGCTGTCCCTGAGGCTGGGAACACTGGTGGAGGAGGGAGTGAAGGCACACGGGTCTGGGCCTGCATCTGGATCTCCACCGAATGTATCAATGGCTCTCAGCTGGAGACAGGGAAGGGCTTTTTGGATCCTTTCCTTTTCTGTAAGGAGCAGATCCTTCTGTGCTTGCTTCTCATAGTGTTTTTAATTCCACATTCCCCACCCCAGTGGGACAATGTCATGTTTTTTTGTAGATTTTGGGGTGGGGAAGCAAAATTTTAAAAGGACCATTTAAAAAATTCAGTGTTCACATTTGGAGTTTAGTCTTTGCTGCTAAAGGGAATTTTTTTTTTTTTCTAAATAAGGTCAATGTGATGCCCTACTATGGGGCTTTTTTACTGGAGAATGGTGGCAGTGATTGGTGGATTATGTAAAGAGTACCATAACCTGGAGAGCTGAGACGCTCTCTCAGGGCAGTGTCTTTCTTTCTGTTTTTTAAAGTTTTACTTATATCTTTTATTTCTGGCATTTTTGGATCTATCCACTTTACCATTGAATAGTCGCACAGTAAAGAAATGTATTTAAGCAAAACTAGTGTCTGATCTGCCAGGGGATGTACTCTTCCACACCCATAGTCTCCAGTCTCTCTTCTAAGAAGAGAAAAACGTGTGTTATCGCCTGTGCCATCCCCAAGCCTGGTTATTGCCCTCATCCTGGCTCCTCTCCTTGGTGTGTATCCTGTGTGGGTCATCGTCTTTCTCGTCTGTTCTCTGCTTTCTTTTCTCTGCATCCTGTTTTTTCTCTGAATTCCTCATCTTTGTCACATCTCAGGGCACAATCATGTTTCTTAACAGTCATATCACAATTCAGTTCCACTTCAGTTCCAGTTTTTGGCTCTCACAAAAAGTGATTTTATGGATATTTAGGGGGTAAGTTATACTCTACTCCCTTGTCTGTGACTCCCAGTGGAGTCCCAGTGGATGTATGTGGTCAATAATTTCACTTAGTAATCTCGTATAACTTTGCTTGTGTCTCTAAGGACCTTTTTGTCTATGATGTGGCTTTTTGTCTTCTTTCTTTTAGGGTGAGCTGGATAAAAGATATTGTTGTGGCTGTGACCAGTGAGAACATGGACATGATGAGGGCCATCATCCATCAGTACCAGCATCAGCGAGTCACCCTGGTTGAAGCTGGCGCCACCCGCCATCGGTCCATTTTCAATGGGCTGAAGGCCTTGGCAGGAGACCACCCCCATTCCAAGCTGCCCACCCCCACGGTTGTGATCATCCACGATGCTGTGAGGCCCTTTGTGGAGGAAGATGTCCTCGTGAGCGTGGTCACTGCTGCCAAAGATCACGGGGTAGGTGGCTGTGTCCCAGTCTGGTGCCATGATTTTAAGACAGCAGGGGTTTCCCAGGAGAATGAGAAGAAATATTCGATGCTAAAAGCAGTATACATGTTATCACTGGCAGAAGGAAAGACTGTGGGGCTTGAACATCCAAGGTTAGGGACATCCAGGGGGAGACAAGTAGGGAAAGACCCCAAAGTAGCGCCCCCCCCCCCCGAATAAAGTGTGAGCAGTTCTGGATGCCTCCAAAGGGAGACGGGGAAGGAATAGAGCCAGAACTTTTCCCAGGGCCTTGGAAGAGATGGTTGCCGGACAGGAGGAGAACCCTATGCTCTAGGGAGAAGACTCCCACAATCCTAGGACTGGGGTCATGTTTTATACCAGATTTTCTTTGTTCCTCTCTGGTTAGACGAGTGGTCTCCCTCCGTCCGTGGATTGTTCATTCGTTCAACAACACGTGTTTCTTATTTATTGATTCGGAGCAGCTCAGGGAGGCCAGAGGAGGCCAGGAGTTGGAGGTGGCCCCTAGCAGGCCGTGCTGGATTGGCTTCTCTTGTGATGTCCCAGGCAGGGAACCACTAGGGAAGCTGGAGGAATTCAGCAGAGAAGAAATGAGAAAAGGAGAGGGAGGGCTTAGGAGGTGGGGGTTGGGGCAGGGCTGGAGCAGAGGGAGCCTGTGGCAAAAGAGACTTGACCCTCACACCTTGGAGGTTTTTTGACTACACCGATGTCATTCTGAGGAGGCATCAAATGACAGATTACTGGCTGTTGTGTTGTATGTTTTGCTGAGTGAGGTGAATAGAAAGAGGCAGCTACGTGGGGCAGTGGGTAGAGCTCTGGGCAAGGAGTCTGGAAGACCTCAGTTCAAATCTAGCCTCTGGCACTTACCAGCTCTGTGACCCTGGGTGAGTCAATTAAACCTCTGTGTGCCTCAGTTTCCTCAAATATAAAATGGGGATAATAATTGTGCTTACCTCCCGGGGTTGTTGTGAGGATCAAGTGAGATCTTTGTTGAGTGCATAGCACACAGTAGGTGCTTAATAAGTGCTTGTCCCCCTTCGCTTCCCACTCTTGTTACTGTATACTACAAGTAGGCATTAAGAGTGGAAAGCAAACAGTGAGCACTGGGTGGTGTCCTTTTGTGATCTCACAGCTCCCAAGCACTGAATGAGAGAAGCTGGCCCTTGGAGGGTTAATGGCCCTGGAGGGGGGACTTCCTTTCTTGGTGTGGTGTTCTCCTTTGGTGGCTGGCTCCTGGAGCCCGTGGGCCTCTTCTCCGAGTTGGGTTTTTAAATGAACGAAATAAACTACATAGGACTGCACAGGAAATTAACAGTTAATGAAAGAAGACCCGTTTCCCTCCGTCAAGGCCACAGATTCCCCGGAATCTCCCCTAAGTCTCCTTGTGGGGAAGAGGTCTTCGGACCCCAGGGTAGGAGCATCTGCATTGGAATCTCACTAATGTGCCACCCGATCCAGTCCCCTCACATTTACACATGAGGAAACCGAGGCCCGGAGAAGGGGAGTGCCTTGTAAGTGGCAGAGCTGGGATTTGAACCTAGCTTCTCTGATCACAAACCCAGGTTCCCTTGTGCCAGGCTGTCTGCCATCTTAGGGCACCCTTTGGAACAAGTCAGGGATTCTAGCTACTGCTTTATTTGGATGAGCAAATGAGACTTTGACCAGGGACGTATAATGCTCCACAGAACATGGTTAGGAAAAAACATAAAATTTGCAGTCAGATTTGAATCCCAGCTTTGATGCTTAAATACCCAGGTGATTTGGGGAAAGTCCTGAGCCCTCTCTTGGCCTCAGTTCTCTCCCTAGGTTTAGGAGCAGGGTATGGGATGGAGTAGCCTTTCCCACCCCAAATCCATGACCCTGACATAGAGAACTTCGACGTTTTAGGGAGGGATGAAAACCAGTTGCTTTTCGCCTCACCCGCCCAGTTGCTTCTGGAGTTTCCTCCGGAGCCGGCCAAGTCCCTTGTCTTGGACGGTTCCATTTCCTCGTGTTCATCAAAATGACCTTGTACGATCGTCACACTGTGTGTCTGTCTTGAGTAAAGCCCACAAATCAGGCCTGAAGGAGTTCTCTGAAATTGTTCCTGACTCCACTGAGAAGGCAGCTTCATCATTGGTTAGAACTCTGGGCTCGTCTTGAAATGTTTCCTTTGATGCCAGCTCCCCGGTGACCGTCTCCTGCCAATAGGTTTAGAGCACTCGCCCTCCAAGGGCTGTGAACAATGACGACAATAAAAGATGAGAATAATTAGTGGAAAATTCTGCTAGTGATCAGACTCTTTCCTTCTAGTTGTCTGGACGATTTCCCATGCGTCCTGTGCCACTGACTGCTAAGTGGCACAGAGGGAGGGGAATGGTGGGAGACACAATCCGGGCTCGAGATGGTGCGAGGCTCAGTCCTCCTTTAGTTTGTTGCTTGTCTGGGGCTCTTGACCCCTGGCTTACTTCACACTTGGTGCCTTCTTGCCCCGTGCTCTTAGTCTAAGCTCTGCCCGAAGGTCCCTTTTCAGACCAGGGATTCGTTAGAAAGTTGTGTCAGTTAGTCAACAAACATTTATAAAGTATCTACGGTGTGCCTGGCACTGTGCTAAGTCCTGGGAATACAAGGAGAGGCGAAAGACAGTCCCTGCCCTCAAGGAGCTCCCCGTCTAACGGGGGAGTAGCCTGTAAGCATCTGAGAACAAACAAGCTACAGACAGGATAAATTGGAGCTAATCCACAGAGGCTTTGGAAGAGGCTTCCTGAGACAAGTAAGGATTCTGAAAGCTTCCATGGACTAGCGTGGGAGATCATGGACCTGACTGGACTTTGCAGAGCAGTCTTTAAAGAGAGAAAGAGGGGTATAGTGGAATGTTCCCTATAGTTAGAATCAGAGGATTTGGGTTTGGATCAAAGTTGGAAGAGACCAGTAATCCCCTCTATAACATCTCCAACCAGTGGCCATTCAACCCTTAGTGCATTATGTGCAATTACTACTTGGGTGACCTGGGGAAGGTCATCAAACTTTAGTGTTCTCCTCTCTGAAGATGATCATTCCCCCTTCCGGGCCTCAGTTTCCTCATTTGTTAAATGAGGGGGTTGGGCTAGGGAGTTTCTAAATTCCCTTCCAGTCCTATTTTGTTACATTGTACTTTTCCCAGGTTAGCCCCCAGCAAGCAGCTTAGCTTACTTTTGGACTTAGTTTCCTTATTTTCTTATTGAGGGGTTGGGCAGAGGACTTGCTTATACTCCGTGGTACCAGAGAGAAAAACTAGGAGCAGTGGATGGAGATCACTAAATATCTGCTAGCAAAGAAGCTTCCCAAAATCAGCACTCTCCCAAGGGACAGTGGATTGCCTGGGGAGCGGCAGATTCCTGAGATGGTATTTGTAAAGCACCGGCACACAGTAGGCACCGCATGAATATTTGCTGACGTCATCGTCTTCATCGTCATCCCTTCTCATCAGAGGCTAGATGACAACTAGTTTGTTCCATTGTTGGGGAGATCATTGTTCAGCTGACCTCGAAGAGCCCCCTTGGAAGAACTGTGATTCTGGGAGGGGCTGCCCCACGGTCCCTGCCAGTGCCAGTCTACTGTGCCTTCATTCGCTGTGCCTGTCTCAGCTCTCTGTGAAGTCCTGGCCAGATGATGATAAGGAGGTTCATCATGATTAGAAATGAAAGTTGTGCGGTATCAGGCGTCACCATTAGTTGGAATCAAGGGAGTAGAACGTGAATTCGCTTGTGGGTTGTGGACTTGACTGGAGTCAAGAGGTCAGGATTCGGGCCGTGGCTCTGTGACCGCAGGCAAACCACTACACCTCCCTGGGCCTTCGTTTGCTTGTCTGTAACGTGGGTTGATAGGGGCAGAGAAATGGCATAGGGGGTCGGTCACCAAGATCTCTTCTGGCTGCCACGTTTTGTGAATGGGTTTGAGTAGTCTGCAAGTCTAGTATCAGCCAGGCACGTGACCTGGCTCCCAAAATGAGCACGTAGTCTTGGGTGGCAAGAATGGAAGAGAAGTCGTCTCTCTCAGTACTCTGTGCTGGCAGCACCCATCTGGAGTATCAGTCAGCTTTCTTGTCTTCCTCTCTACTACATTTCTCAGGTAGATCAGAGCAAGGCAAATGGCCACATTCCCCTTAGCTTGGCTGGGTTTGAGATGTCGGGGATTCCAGATTCTCTTTGGGCTGTCTGAGACCCCCGTTGATGCGCAGTTTGGCCGTGGGATAGGACACAAGGCTGGTCAATCTGGGCCCTGAGGGCCTGAGCTTCAGGGTTGATCATGTTCCCAGAACACCAAGCTGTCATTACCGTGGGGCTATTGGAAGCCCTGGAAGAGCTGTGAACTCCCAGAGAAGCCCCAAAACCAACATAGTCTGCCGAGGGCTAGTAGCCACCTATAGAACAAGATAGAGATTGTACCAGCTGCTTGTGATAGGAAAGACAGGGCAGTCTAGTGGTCAGACACTGGCTTTGGGGAAAGGAAAACCTGGGTTTGAGTGTCGCCTCTGACACATACTGCCTGGAAGACTCTGGGCAAGTCTCTTAACTTCTGTAGAACCATAAGCTGCTAGCCTACGTTGGTGGGGGGCGTTTCCTTATCCAGGACTTCTCTGTCCTAATGCAGTCACGGGACCAGCCCCTATGCATTCCCTATCCCTATGGAGAGAGAGTCTTCACCGTGCTGTGCTGTTCTTACTTATTTTAAAATATAAAGTCTTCAAGGGCAGGGCCTATTTCAGTTTTGCCTTTGTCTGCCCCTTGCCTAGCCCAGGGCTGGCCAAGTACAGCACCCTTAATGAATGCTTGTTCCATATAATTGCATTGTTAACTTAGCATGTGGCGATTATCTCTAGGGCAAGTAACTCATTTATATCTATGAGGTTCCAAATCGCAGCCCAAGCCACTCTGAAGCAAATTAGAATGCAAGTGGAAGAGTAGTACCTTTTCTTTTGTTTTCTCCAGGAGGAAAAGGTAGTTAATAAAAAGATAACTTATATCTGCCTCCAGAGAGAAACCTGATGGACTCTGAACACAGATTGAAGCAGACTTTGAACATTTTTCTTATTTTTCCTGTTTTCTCCTGTTTTCTTTTGTCATATGGTTAACATGGAAGTATGTTCTGCGTGATTTCTGTGTAATCGATATCATTCTGCTTGCTTTCTCAAGGGGTGAGGGAGGGGCAGGAGGGAGGCAGAGAGTTTAGAATTCCAAGTTGAAAAAAAAAGATGGTTAATTTTTTTACATGCAATTTAGAGATATTTAACAAAATAAAAAGTATATTGAAAGTAAAATGATAGCTTAAACCTTTTAGACATTTCTGAGCTCTGCTTGGATATTGACTGCTCACTTTGGGCAATAAAACCTTGAGGCTGTGCTGGAGGTGCTTTTAATGAATGAAATTTCCATCCAGTTTATGTTATTCAAAGGCTGCAATGAAAGTGTCCCTCCGACAATGTGAGATTTTTTAATCTTGTAATTACTCGCGATTGTTTTACCTTTGAAGATGCCAATCTATAAACTTTTAATAAGTAGTCTTTCGATGAAGACAGCCCAGCAAGTTGAAATGGTGATTATGCGGTGGGAGGCCTTGTTCTGTGGGCTGTCGTAATTAGCAGGATCTCAGGTGTCTGGGAGAGAGAGCTACATGTCGCTACCTGTAAGAGAGATCATTGCCTAAGATTGTTTAAATTTTGGACATGGATGGTTGAAGGTAGAGGCCCTTCGTCTCACAGGCTCTGATGACTTCCCTCGTTTGGATTTGGAAGTATCTGAGTGGATCAGGACGAGCAGACAATAGTCATTGGGAGGCTGAGCTTCCGAGCCTGGAGTCAGAGCTCGTCTTGGTAATTTCCCAAGGAGATCTTAATAATAACTTGCCAATAAACTAGTGTGTGATAAAAATTTCCGATGATGATAAAGATGGAAAATGAGACATATTTTTGAACATGGCCTATTTTTTTTTTTTTTGCTTCACTCTTCACGTGTGTTTCAAGGCATCCTGATAAAATAGTTATTATTTACATCTTCTTAACTTAGTGCAGAGGGGAGTTCAGGGGATTGGAGATCATAGGATCAAAGATTTCCAGCTAGAGGTGACTTTGGAAGTTATCAAGTCCAATGATTCCCCTTGGCAGCCTTCCTGAAGGTCTGTTGAGTCATGTGGGGATGGGCTCCCCTTCAGTGGGGGCTCCCAAACCCCAGGGAGTTCCTCTGAGTGAAGAGCCTCTCAGTCGTGTAGCCCTAGGTTTATTTTTTCTATCTTTCTTTGGATGGTCAATGAAATAGACTCTTTTCCTTCCTCTATGCCATAGGGTGGTGCTTTTAAATATGATCATAGTATTGTCGCTTTCATCCCTTAGAAAAAGTAGAATTTGGTTCATGGCCCCAGCTGAATTTTGCCTGTAATGCAGTTGTTTTGCCCTCTCTGTGTATACAAATTTAAAGAGAGTACTTGAAATCAGACTTTTCACCCGTGTCTTCCTCTCCTGTCAAAGTTATTCAGTCAACAAACAGAAGGGCAGTGTATGCTGTGTGGCAGGCACGCAGGGGCCCAGCTTACTGTATTTGTATAGCGCTTTACAGTTTTCAGGGGCGTAGGTGGGTGGTGAAGTGGGTATAACCCTGGACTTGGAATCTGGAATACTCATCTTCATGAATTCAAATCTAGCCTCAGATACTTAATAGCCGTGTGACCCTGGGCAAGTCACTTCACCCTGTTTGCCTCAGTTTCCTCATCTATAAAATGGGCTGGAGAAAGAAATGGCAATGCACTCCAGGATCTCTGCCAAGAAAACCCTGAATGGAGTCACTGAGAGTCAGAAAACGGAAGAAGAGGGGAGGAAGAAGAAGAAGAAGAAGAGGGAGAGGAGTGAGAATAAGAATGATAACCACAACAACAAATCTGTGCTGCGCTGTCTACTACTGCCGCCAAGACAGTTTGCTCTTAGTACACACGAGTGAACAAGTAAAGAGTGTGTTTGCATTTCCCATGTGAATGACATCTGAGACCTAGTGTGGACCCAGGCTTACTTTCATGCGTCTAAGCCCTTACCCATAATCTGAGTGTGACTACACTCAAATAATTGTTTCTATTTCTACAGTTAGGAACAGTCACAGTTCATGAATTTGCTAATTGTTGTTTCTTCTCGAATACCTTGCCCTGTGTTTGACCGCTGGTTGGAGTAGAGCCTCATCTTGGACGAGGTGAGACCTTCTTGGACTCCGCAGAATATGTGTTTAATTGATGAAAGACTCAAAGGACCTTATTTGGAGGCAGCCTGTCCGATAATGTCCTGCATCCTGATGAGTCATTGTCATGAGGCTTCATTATCTGTGTGCATGTTCCCCACTGGACATGGGAAGCGTCACACACGGGTCAGAGGAAGTCGGAGTGAGAAGTGGGATGGTACGGCGGTGGAGAGAAGCCTGCCCCTGCCTTCAGAGGCTTCAGTCTAACTTCTGATGATCAGCTCTTGGCTGAGTTCTTCATCTCGTTGGGACGCCACCGTTTCTTTTTTCAAAGGAGAGGGTCAGACGAGAGGATCGTGGGAGGCACCGTGGGGTAATAGAGAGGGTCAGACTAGACTTTAGTCACTAGAGGATCATGGGAGGCACCGTGGGGTAGTGGAGGTGCCAGCTCTGGAGGCAGGGGACCTCAGTTCAAATCTTTTCTCTGACAATTATTATGTTGGATAGCAAGTCCTTTGCCTTTTCTGGTCCTCAGTATACTCTTCTGTAAAATGAGGGGGTTAGCCCATCTCACGACTGAGGTCCGGTCCAATTCTGCCTCTCCCTTCCCTTGAAGGAAGGGTGTGGATGTGTGGGTGTATGTGATCCACCTCTTGTCTTCCAAAAAAAAAGAAGGTTTGGGCATCTGTTAATGAGGTCCAGTTACCGCCAGAACACTGGATGTTAGGGGGGCTTTGCTTGAGGAGGGACCGCCTGCTAGGGGAGTAAGGGCCAAGGAAATGCCTGAAAAACCTTGGCTTTTCCTAGAAATTAGAGCAAGGCCTGGAAACGACGTGTTTCATGTCACTGTTGATTCCCATCTCAGAGACTCCAAAGATGTGTCTTGAATTTACTGAATTACATGGTGTGTCAGAATTTTGTAAATGCACATTAGTTCACTCTTGCTTTTGTGAATAGCTGTCTACATTGCACTGAGGTTCTTTCCCAACACACTTCTTTCCTTCTCATCAGTGAACATCCCAGCTTCCTCAGGGAGTGGGCTTTTGAATAGTCATTGATTACAGATGCTAAACCTGGAATGGAAAATCTTCTATTCCCTCTTCACAGTCCCACTGTGGGGCTGGCTCTTGGACATCCTAACAGATCCCTCGCCCAGTGTTTCTTTGAGGGAGTCCACTAGAAGGACCCCAGATTTGAGGTGGTTGTCAATGATATCGGGAGCGCAGACGTCTTCTTTTCCCAAGTTCTCTAGGTACAAAGTATCATTTACTGCTTTCTCTTTATTCCACAGGCAGCAGGAGCTATCCGCCCCCTCGTGTCCACGGTCATTACTCCATCTGCAGATGGTTGTTTAGACCAGTCATTAGACCGGGCCAAGCACCGGGCCAGTGAAATGCCCCAGGCTTTCCTGTTCGATGTGATCTACAGAGCTTATCGTCAGGTAAGAATTGAAGGCTTTCAAGGGGATATGCTTGGTTTTTGTCTTATTGAAGGAAACGTTATTAAAAACAACAGTCTTGCCTCTTTTGAACAAAAATTGGCAAACCATGTTGGAGCTGAGATTGTCTTACTTTTTGTTCTTTATAGATGAAAATATTCATTTTTACCCTAGACCTTTAAAGACGATTCTTCTCTCTGCAAAGTTAGCAGTGATCTCTTAGTTGACGAATCTAACAGCCTTTTTCTCAGTGCTCATTCCCCTCGACCTCTCTGCCACCGCTGACACTATTGGTCACTTTCTCCTCCTTGATACTCTCTTTACTTCAGGTTTTCAGGACACCCGCCCTCTCCTGGTTCTCCTCCCACCTTTCTGACCCTTCTTTGTCTCCCTTGCTCAGTCCGCTTCCAAATCATGCCCTCTCATTGTGGCCGTCCCTCATGGTTCTCCCCTGGGTCCTCTTCTCCTTCTATACTATTTCACTTGGTGATCTCATCAGATTCCATGGGTTTAATGACCATCTCTATGCTGATGGTTTCCCATAACCCTAACCCACTGAGCGCCAATCTCACATCTCCATCTGCCTTTCAGACATCTCAAACCAGATGTCCAATAGACGTCTTATACTCAAACGTGGCACCCATTGTCTTTCCCCCTGAGTCCTCACCTCCTCCTCCTTTCCATTACTATAGATGATAACACCATCCTCCTGGTCCCTCAGGCTCACAGGTAGGAGGCATCCTAACTCCTTGCTCTCTTTCATTCCCCATGTTCAACCCGTTGCCAATGCCTGTTGATTTCATCTTTGCAGCATCTCTCGAATACGCCTCCTTTTCTCCTCTGACACTGCCCTCATCACCTCACACTATTGCAAGAGGTGCTGAGGGCACGAGGTCTACCTGCCTCAAGTCTCTCCCCACTCCAGTCCATCCTCCTAAGAGATTTTCTTAAAGCGCAGCCCTGATCACGTCACCCCTGTACTCTTTAAACTTTAGCGGCTCCCTGTCATCTCCAGGACACAATACAAAGTGCTCTGTTTGGCACTCAAAGCTCTTCATAATCTAGCCCCCTCCCCCTTCCAGTCTTATACCTTACCCCCACCCCCACCCTTGCAGTGTGCTGAGAACCAGTAGCACTGACCTGCTTGCTGTTCTTTATCCAAGACACTCCATTTACTGACTCCAGACATTTGACCTGGCTGTCCCCATACCTGGAATCCTCCTCATTTCCATCTCCTGGCTCCCTTTGCTTCCTTCAAGGGTGGATCAAGCTCACTTTCTAGAGGAAACCTTTCCTGATCCTCCTTCATTCCAGTTTAGCGCATTCCCTCTGTTGATTGTCTTTGATTCAATCCAGCATCTGACTTGTTGGTACAGTTGTTTGCTATGTTAATGTTAAACATTTGTTTAAATGTTGTCTAGACTGCGAGTTCCTTGAGGGCCTTTCTTGGTGTCGCTGGTGCTTAAAGCTGTGCCTGACACATAGCAAGTGCTTAAAAATGTGTATTGACTGACTGACTAACTGTGCCTTGGTGCAGTTCAATCCCTAAACATTTAATTGAGGACCTACTGTTTGCCAGACCCTGGGGGTATAAAGTCAACAGTGAGAGCCCCTGGCCTCAGGGAGTTTCCAGTTTTCTGTAACCCACCATACTTGGTCCCTCTGGGCAAATTCTTCTTATTCCTGGCTTTCCTTGTAAAGCAGGGGCAGGACTGGGAAGTTGGAGGGACAGTCCTGTGGAATCCCAAAGAGTCTCCTTCTCTAGAGATTGTTCTTGGGGCTCATCTGTCTTCTGCCAGACTTTTCTCCTCAAGGGGCCGTGTGCCTGTGCCTCATTTATTCCACTTCTTTTTTTTTTTTTTGGTTTGTGCTTCAGCAGAATCTATTTTTATTTATTTTTATTTTTTTATATGAAATTTATTTTATTTTTTTCAATATAAATTTATTTATTTTTAGTTTTCAACATTTACTTCCACAAAATTTTGAGTTCCAAATTTTCACCCCATCTCGCCCCCTCCCCCACCCCAAGATGGCATGCATTCTGAATACCCCTTCCCCTAGTCTGCCTTCCCTTCTATCTCTCCACACCTTCCCCCTTCTATTTTCCTGTAGGCCATGATAGATTTCTGTACCCCATTTCCTGTATTTCTTATTCCCAGTTGCATGTGAAAACATTTTTTTTTTAAACATGTGTTTTTAAAACTTTGGGTTCCAAGTTTTCTTCCTCCCTCTCCATCCACCCTTATTGAAAAGGCAAGCAACTCAATATAGGTTATACATGTGCAGTTATGCAAAACACTTCGGTAGTAGAGATGCTGTGAAAAGCTAATTCTATTTCCCTTAATCCTATCCTGACCCCCCCCCATTTATTCTATTCTTTATTTTGACCCTGTCCCTCCTCAGAAGTATTTGCTTCTGATTACCCCCTTTCCCAATCTGCCCTCCTCTCTATCATCCCCCTACTCTCTTGTCCCCTTCCCCCCCCTATTTTCCTGTAGGGTAAGACAGATTTCCATACCCCATTGAGTGTGTATGTTATTCCCTCCTTAAGTCAAATCCTATGAGAATAAGATTCACTCATTCCCTCTCACCTCCCCCCATTTCCCCTCCACTGTAAGAGCCTTTTCTTTTTTTTTTTGTGAGATAATTTACCTGTTTTACCTCTCCTTTTCTCCTTCTCCTAGTATAATCCTCTCTCACCCCTTAATTCTATTCTCCAGATATGACCCCTTCATCTTCAACTCGCTGTGTGCCCTCTATCTATCTATCTATCTATCTATCTATCTATCTATCTATCTATCTACACACATATAATTTTTTCTCTCCAACTACCCTAATACTGACAAATGTCTCATGAGTTACAAATATCATCTTTCCATGCAGGAATGTAAACAGTTCAGCCTTAATAAGTCTCTTATGATATCTCTTTCTTGTTTGCCTCTTCATGTTCCACTTGAGTCTTGAATTTGAAAGTCAAATTTTCTTTTCAGTTCTGGTCTTTTCATCAAGAATGCTTGAAAGTCCTCTATTTCACTGAATGTCCATTTTTTCCCCTGAAGGATTATACTCAGTTTTGCTGGGTAGGTGATTCTTGGTTGTAATCCTATCTCCTTTGCCCTCTGGAATATTATATTCCATGCCCTGCGGTCCCTTAATGTAGAAACTGCTAAATCTTGTGTTATCCTGAATGTGTTTCCACAATACTTGAATTGTTTCTTTCTGGCAGCTTGTAATATTTTCTCTTTGACCTGGGAACTCTGGAATTTGACTACAATATTCCTAGGAGTTTTCCTTTGGGGATCTCTTTCAGGAGGAGATGGGTGGTTTCTTTCAATTTCTATTTTGCCCTCTGGTTCTAAAATATCAGGGCAGTTCTCCTTGATAATTTCTTTTTTTGATCATGGCTTTCAGATAGTCCAATACTTTTTAAATTCTCTCTCCTGGATCTATTTTCCAGGTCAGATTTTTTTCCAATGAGATATTTCACATTGTTTTCTAATTTTTCATTCTTTTGGATTTGTTTTACAGTGTCTTGATTTCTCATAAAGTCACTAGCTTCCAATTGCTCTATTCTAATTTTTAAGGAAGTATTTTCTTCAGTAAGCTTTTGGACTTCCTTTTCCATTTGTCCAATCTTGCTCTTTAGGGCATTCTTTTCTTCATTGACTTTTTGGACCTCTTTTGCCATTTGGGTTAGGCTATTTTTTAAGGTGTTATTTTCTTCAGTATTTTTTGGGGTCTCCTTTAGCAAGATGTTGACTTGTTTTTCATGATTTTCTTGCTTCATTCTCGTTTCTCTTCCCAGTTTTTCCTTTACTTCTTTTACTTGCTTCTCAAAATCCTTTTTGAGCTCTTCCAAGGCCTGGGACTGATTCATATTTTTCTTGGAGGCTTTGGATGTAGGAGCCTTGGCTTCATTGTCTTCTTCTGGTTGTATGTTTTGATCTTCTTTGTCACCAAAGTAAGATAATATAGTCTGACTCTTTTTGCGAGGTTTGCTCATGATCCCGGCCAATTACTTGAGTTTTAAACTCTTTGTTAAGGTAAAAGTCAGCTTCCAATGTGAAGAGTGTACTGTCCCAAGCTTCGGGGGTTTGTACAGCTATTTTCTGAGCTACTTGTAGGGACCTGAAAATTTTCAGTTCTTCCAGGGTGCTATGATAAGGGTGAGGTTTTTCCTTTCCACCGCCACAAGAAGCTTCACGACACCAGCATTTCTCCTCGCCCCAGGACCGCCCCTCAGAACTGTGACCCAGATCTAAGCACGAGCAAAGCAAGAGATTCCTGCCTCAGCCTTGGCAAAGAGATCCCTACCATCCCTCTCTGATCAGTCACTTGATTCCCCCTCAGTCTGTGGGCTGGAAGCTCAGAAGCCAGCCGCTGCCTTTGGGGTGGCTGATATCTAGCTTCTTCTTTCGCCGCAGTCACAGACTTTTCCCACTGACCTTCCAAGTTTTCTTTGGCATTCATGGGTTGAGAAGTCAGGAAACCGCCACAGCTGCCTGCGATTCAGCTCTCCGAGGCCTGCTCCGGGGCGCTGCGGCCTGTGCACCCATGTTGCGCTGCGCTCCTCTCCTGCCTGGCGCGATATACCTTTCAGATCAACCATCCAGGTTGTCTTGGGCTGGAAATTTGTTTCACTCTGTCTTTTTGTGGGTTCTGCTGCTTTAGAATTTGTTTAGAGCCATTTTTTTTACAGGTATTTGGAGGGGTTTGGGGGAGAGCTCTAGCAGGTCACTGCTTTCACTCTGCCATCTTGGTTCCGCCCCCCTCATTATATTTGATTCTTGAAGTGAGAGGGAGCCGCTTGAGTGTCTGGACTGGAGGAGTGTCGTGGTTGTGCCGGCACTTTGGGAAGATCACTGGTGGCTCTGTGGAGGGTGGGCTGCGCTGGCTGAGAGAGGTTTCCCCTAGAGTAGAATCACTTTGCGGGAAATACTGTTGTTTTTCTTTGTATCCTCAGCATCCACCTTGGTGCTTGGCACATCCTCAGGGTTTCTCGT